CGGGTCAAGGTAGAAAGTGGGTATAACTCAAGAAACGGCTCTTTATATCAGCGTTATGGTGGCTGTTGTCGTGTTAACTTCATCTGAGTTTATGCATTATTGCAATAGTGGCGGCCATTGTTTTCATTGCATTCCTCCACAGAGAGTGCTAGAGCACTCTCTGAGATATATATGACGCTCATGTACTCTCCCCCACATTATGTGTATTCTGTGTTATAGAAAATTTAATGTGTGTGTGTGTTTTATCTTATAGCAAAGCCATATTGAGCTATCTACTGTGTCCACCGAGGGGAATCGAACACTGTTTTAAATGTTATAAGTACTTGCCGCTGTCCCACCGTAAGAACGTGGCGCTATCTATGAATGTAGTTAACGTTAATTCGCGTCAAATATAATAAATGCTCAATATCATTGATAATGGGGCTAAAGGGGTTGTGAATCCCCCTCATTAACATGCTCCTTGTTCCAAACTATCATCCCACAAAGTTTGGATGAAATTGGCCCAGTGACGTAGGAGTAGTTAGATAATGGACAAACAGACAGATTTTTTTATAAATATATGATACACCTCTTTCTGAAAGTGTACCATTGAAAAAGGAAAGCAGTATGGGTAAAGTAGTTTTCATATGAAGTCATTTAATAATATTTACCTAATTTATTGGGAAGTCATAGAAGGCATTCTCTTTCAAGTAAGACCAGACATGTTAACGTTATATACCGGCAGTTGAAATGGATTATTTTGGGATTAGATGTTGAGAAAAATAACGAATGACTAAGCTGCAGTGTATGTATTTCTTGTACGTTCCGGATGCAAGAGAACAACTTACTTAAGCTTAACGTCATTTATGGATTAAAGCAGGTTATACAATGTTAAATTATTGTAAATATATCTATGCCAAGTCTCATTCAGCCACACAACTTTACGTATAGGATATTTTGCCAGTTTCTGGGTCACATTCTTTAAATTAAGTTACGTTAAAAGTAAAACAGTAGTCAAAACGTTATTTGCAGAAATTGCTATAAAACAACAATTCTCGGCTCATAAAATCTCTTGAACTTTCCCTAACTAATATCGTCTGATGTTTCGGTTTTAATGCACTTTAATCTGTGATCATTGATATCTGTTTACACATTATTATATAAACTGGTGGTTGCAACCTTCTCTAAATTAGTTTAGGCCTAGTGCATTTCCTGAAAAGTACTAGTTATCCCTAAAACTAAAAGTCGTACAACGCTTACTGTAGTCAACGTTAGCAACATACAGGAACAGAGAAAAGTAACAAATAATCATATCACATAACTTATTATACAAATTACACAGTAGTAAGTAATAGCGTAACATTACTGTATTATAATATTATTAGTTATGGTAAGGTAATTCACTTGGCGGACGTTCAACTATTTGAAGGCCCGTGCTGCATATACTTACAGTGTATTGAACCTTGTACGGACAGCATCTCGTTCTTTGTTTGACATTTAGATACCGAAAAAATTAATACCCAAGTAGTACTATCATAACGGCATATTTCCATAAAAATTTTATGCCGCAATATGTTTATACTTTCAAATAAACAACAGAAATAAAAAAAAAAGAGTTCAAATGGTTTTTTTTGTGTGCGCAGCTACTTGCTTCTTGTTGTTGTTCATTTTTATCTGGCCCATTGGTACAGCTCTGGATCTGACGAGTCGGGTTCGAATCTGCTCGCTGCCATAAAACATTTTCCGCACTTTAAGCTGTAGGTGCGTTATAAAATGACAGTTAATATCGCTTAGCGACAGGTAGCGTGGATGGTGAGACGTAGAATGCTGCTAACTGGCTACCTTCCTTCTGGTCAGTCGTTCGAAATTAGGGACGACGGCAGGTATCCTTCAAATTAATGTTTTTCCCAATATGATAAATTTACTAGGATACCAAAACTTTAGTCACGAAAGGTGTCACTAAACAAAAACTGATTAAATTTTGTGACACATAATCTTCTTTGTAGTTTTACTTAACCAAATATGATACATTAACAAACAACAAATTTGTTATTTTCACCTGAGATTTCCCCATGCAATCCTAACTAATAATAGAGATAGAACAGGCTATAGGTGTAGGGTTAATTACTTTTTCGTAAGTAACAAAATTTAAAAAAACTTGAAATATTTAGCTTCACTCATTTTTGAATTGAAACTATAATTTGAGAAAAGTTTGTTTGTCCTCCAACTCCTGCTAGGCGTTTGCATTTGATCTGATCAAATATGGTTTAATCAACTAGGAATGATTCGGGACGTGTCAAGAAGTTATTTTGCTTTTAAAATGCATAGATTTCACAGATCCAATGATGGCTAAATATAGATCAGTCAGTGGGGGTGGCCACTAGGTGTATTGATGGGTTGTCTCCAGTTTCCTCTTTTGTTACATGGAGTATATATATATACAATCCGTGAACTTTGAATCTTTATTAACATATTAAAGACAAAAACAGAAACACTATTTATATTCATAACTGGTAGAACATTAATTTTGCAATTGCGTTTCGTTTTCAATTCCCATCAATTATTGTTACTTATTGTTTTTCGATAAAAAAAATTAAACAAACTAAAATAGAAAATAAAATGTTATTTAAATAATCAAGCCTTTATATTTCTACTGGTATATTTCGGAAAAAATAAACAAAAAACATTTATATTCGTAGGTGTTAAAAATATCCATTGATATGAACACCTCATAACAACACCTATCAACAGAGTGTACGTTATTGTAAAATATCTAATTAAATACATTATTTATTTTTGTATTTTACACGTCAATCAGTGTGTGATCATCCCAAAGAAAATGCGCAAGAAAATCTTATAAAGAACAGAAAGGATAACAGAAAGAAAACAGGTTAAGAGGTCTAATGGAAATGACACTGTTAGGTCTCCGAGAATTGAACGTGAAAGGAAGCGACGGTGTGAAGGAAGATAAAGTGAATATTCTGCATACATAGCTACAAACCCCAGTAAAAATATAGCCATAGATAAAACGAAACAACGATTATTCCGTATAAAATCAATAAATGAATCATATGAATGATTTTTCTAACTTTCATAAACGAGTACACTTATTTACCAGTCTTATTGAATTTAAAAAATGCTGCAAGAGGTACAACATCGTCGCAGAGTTGCATTATCTATCTAACTATAAGAGTGGGTCTCCTCTACAAAACAGTGCTTTAAGATATTGGGATAATTTACAGAAATGTACCATCTACTATAGCTCTCCTTAGCAACGACATGTATGTGGGTGCATTACCATGAGAATTAGACAGCCTTGAAAAGGTTGTGGTAGGATTAAGTACACCACTTAATGTCCGCTATCTGGGCAAAATGGTGTTGAAATCGACAGTCCATGGATTTAATAATAGCTTCAGGATAATAACTGAATCTTTTATCAGTGAGCAGACAACAAGCAATAGACTTCGCAAGACTTGCTTCTAGATGTAAGAGACATTTTCAGTACAACATCGTTGATTCTGACCGTTTCGATTGTAGATTAATACGGATTGACCTCATGGAGAGCCACAGGTGAACAATTTGTTCAGCGCAACGTCGTTGAGCCTGACCGTTTCAAAAGTGGTTTATTGAAAATGTAGGAGAACATCATTACGTATGAGTGTACAGATCTTTTTCTATTCCGAGGGTCGGATTTCTGCTCGACGATATGATATTGAAGTTAATCATACATTTTTTTTCAATTAGGTCCAAGTTCTCAGTAGATGCTAATATGATCACTTTTTCTAAGTTCTCTCGTACGTATGACATTTATTCATGTCTATAGTTCTTCATCAAAACACAAACTCATTATTCACAAGCAATAAAAAAGAAAGACAACTTCTCCCAAATGATAACTAAATGAAAATTGTTATAAAATCTGAGCTAAAATTCTGAATCAGAATATTTATAATTAATATTTAAATATATTTTGATTCAAGATTTCTAATAATTATATCACTTTTAATGGAATTCTTTGAGAATTGAATATTGTTGCACTTTTTTTTTTCAATTAAAAACAGTTCTAAAAAGTACTTAAGATTGTTTGTTTCGTTAAAACTATGGAATTAATTTAATTGCAAGACAAATATCTCAATTTACAAAAGCCCAAAGAAAAACATTATACAAATTACTGTTGTATTGGAACTAAACATCATTCAACATTGTAGAATGTTTACATTATTACATGTAATTCTTGCAACAGTCGAAAGTATATCTTTTCAAGAGTATCTTTAATTTCTCACAGTTAAGAATACTCACATAGGCCAAAGCATAAAACGCTTCAAAAACTGTGATTATCTTATGATTGTGAGTTTTGTATATGTAGTTCAACCTGACTAAAGAAATGATTTACAATAACGAATATGCTACATACTTGATTGCTCGACTAAGAAAGTTATCTCTGCGCACTTGTTAGTTTAGCAAACGTCGTTGTAAATGACGAAATAAATCAGATGATAAAGGTTAAACTTGCCAGAAGGTGTACAGCAGTGGTTCTTAACCTTTTTTGCTCCATGCTCCACCTCGACACCTCAAAACATTTGATGCCCCCGTAATATAAAAACAAATTTGGTGTTGAAAAGGTATAGAAATATAATGTAAAATTTAGAAATTTACCAAAATTTCACAACCAAATAAAGAATGTTTCTTATTGTAACATTTTCAAATTGCTCCCCGATATATTCAAATTGCCCACCTGTGAGGTGTGTGCCCCACGTTCAGAATCACTGGTGTACAGTGTTTGCAGTATATATATTTTTTCATTCCTCGGAATAATTTTCATTTTCAATTTTATTTGAAAGCATATTGATTGAATCTCTTTGGAAATTGTAATAAATATGGTAACACAAAATAAAATAAACATGCACAAACTGCAAACTGTATATGTAATATGTTTATTTCAAAATTCAGTTTGGTTTTCTAAAATCATTATAAGTAATGTAATTCCTAGCTCTGATACTGAATATGAGCAAGTATTTCGTATGTTGATACAATCTTAAACTCAACGTCGTGCTTAGAAGACAACACTGTGAAATGATTGAATTTACAGGAGATACATATAGAAATTAAAGACAGTAAAAATGGTTAAAAATGATACTACATTGTGAAAATGATTTGCAAAGAAAAACAAACAGAAAAGTCTGATTTTTGAAGAGATGAATGAATTTATAAAAAAAGTCAAGGGAACAATTTTGCTAGGTATAAATGTATGGAATGATGGTTTTGAAAACATTAATTATCGGTGTCTTTCCGGGATGGTGCTACGCTTCTGGAGATTCAATAAAATCGTAATGATTTTCTTTTTTGTCCTTCTACTCATGTAAGACTAAATTCTTGACCTTTTTCAGTAGTGTACGAGTGAATGTTTCCTTATGGTTCAGAGTGAAAACTAGTCTTCTGTTGAACTGTCTTGGTGTGAACAAAACCTGGAGAACACACAGGATAAGGGACAATAATGAAACATGCTTTAATTTCATGGTAATTGTTGCCATTGAACTCATAACTGTTGCGGTGAAGAGTGCAACCAGCTTCAGGAAAGAAAAACCAGAACTGATTTTAAGTAGCTGAAAGGAAAGCAGATTTGCCATTTTAGATAACTATTGTAAAGGCCCCTTTCAACCCCATGAGCTATGTTAAATGTTTACTTTAAATCGTTGTATTGATTGTACTGAAACAAAAAATAATCCGAAAAATAAGTTAAATCTTCAATGGAAGTAACCTGTCCCATTGGAAAAACGCAATACTGAAAAATAGCATCAGGACAACATTACACAATACCGCATTTTGAATAGATTAATTCTAAATCCACGATCTAAAATAGCATCAGGACAACACTATACAATACTGCTTTTTGAATACACTAATTATAAGTCAACGATCTAAAATAGCATCAGGACAACAATATATAATACTGCTTTTTGAATACACTAATTATAGATCAACGATCTAAAATAGCATCAGGACAACATTATACAATACCGCATTTTGAATACACTAATTATAAGTCAACGATCTAAAATAGCATCAGGACAACACTATACAGTACTGCATTTTGGATAGATTAATTATAGATCAACGATCTAAAATAGCATCAGGACAACACTATACAGTACTGCATTTTGGATAGATTAATTATAGATCAACGATCTAAAATAGCATCAGGACAACACTATACAATACTGCATTTTGGATAGATTAATTATAGATCAACGATCTAAAATAGCATCAGGACAACACTATACAATACCGCATTTTGAATACACTAATTATAAGTCAACGATCTAAAATAGCATCAGGACAACAATATACAATACTGCATTTTGAATGCATTACTTATAAATCGCCCCTAGTGGCACAACGGTATGTCTGCGGACTTACAACGCTAGAAACCGGGTTTTGATACCCTTGGTGGGCAGAGCACAGATAGCCCATTGTGTATCTTTGTGCTTAACTACAAACAACAACAACAAAAACTTATAAATCAATCATCAATCTAGAATTGGTTTCTGCCAAAGCATAACATCAGCAAAGCAACAGATAATGTAAATGAACAAATAGGCATTATACAGCGTGGTTTAATATACATGTAACTTTTAATCGACAACAAGACCAAAGTATA